AAGCCCACCTCAGCTCTCACCACCCAGTCTCGACGAGATGTACGCCAACAATGCGCAAGAGCTCAAGAAGAAACGTCGGGACCTCAAGCGCCGCCGATATGACTTCGTAGTCGACGACCAGCCAAGTCCAAGCAGGAGTTTGAGGAGGATCGTCGAGCCCTCAAATGTCGCCACCACGGCTCTGAGGCCGACGACAAACCCAAGGCCAAGCGGACCCGCACTGAGAGTATCGATTCCACTACGCAGCTCAGCCACCGCTGTGACAATGTCACATTGAACCCTGATGAAGGAGCAAACCTACCCACACGTACAACGGACTTCCTCACCAGGTGGATCGGCTACGCCTTCCAAGTCTCCGACTCCGAGCCCCATGATATCAGGCCGGATATCGAGTCGGAAGATCACTGGCGCAGTCAGATCCGCTCGGGACTCGCCACGCATCTCGAACGTCCTCGAGAGAAGGTGCTGGACAGCGAAGTTGAGCAGGCGAAGGCATTTGCTATGCCCCGCATCCGTGCGGTCATCAAGGAAGAATTGATGTCGGACCGCGTGAGGTTTTGGCACGGAAGTGGGATGAGTAGTTCGCTCGGACTGGCTCGAGAACGTTGGGGTTGCGGAGAGGTTCATCATGTCCGGAGTTTTGCGCTGCGGTTGTGCTTAGAGACGAGTTTGAATATGGCGCCGTTGCGGATGCCTTCATCATGCCCGGGAATTTGCGTTGTCTGCGCCCTCAGAGAGAAGTTCGACAACAGCGTCGCTGCGAATGACGAGGAGTGTGTGCATGTGGAATCACGGGGTGCGGTCTGCGTGCCCACAAGCGAAACCCGTCAACATGAGTAAGGGAACACTAACTTTGAGGTTAGATCAAGTTCACGAGGTCCGGCAACCAAGCGGTGGGCTAGCCCAGTCTCCAGACTTCGAAGATATTCCTACCACGACGACTTATTCGGCATCATACCCAGTCCAATTTATGGGAACCCCTTTGAAACATGGCGTTCTTTCGAGGGCAGCATCCTCCTAATTAGCGAATAATGTACCTATCACCATTAAAAGAGAAAAGTGAATATGCGTTCAGGCCGGGACGTAAACATGGAAACAGCTAAAGGTTGCGCTCGGCAGACTCAGACTTGCTCTATCCCTCACTGCGTACGCTGTGCATTCGACAATTTCGCAACCGCCGTCCGGCTCAGACTTCGACTGGTGGAAATTAGCGAGAGATCACGACGCGGGACGACTCTTATGCCGAGAAATTGGAGAGGAGATGAAACCCCGCGAGGAACGTCAGGCCCGCAACGTGCAGGCTCGTCCTGCCACGACGGGCGAATTCCTCTTTGCGAAACAGCACGCTCGAAAACAAGAGTTGAATTAATTCCAACCGATACCCGATGACGTTGTGTAAAGGTCAACGCTCGGTACACGCCGAGGTTCACGCCATGCAACTGTCAAGGCGCCACGGCGTCGTTGAAATTGGGTTTTTCCATCGGCCGGGGTGTAGTGAAACGAGCTACAGGGGGCCATGCATGCGGCGTGGGATGGAGAAACGAGATGCAAGGGATCATGCATTAAACCAGCCATTTGCAAACGCAACATGGGCGAGACGCGCGCCTCAGGTGGGTATAATGCAGGGGATATAGATGAAACGAGCAAGGACAGCCTGACCTACAGAGACGGCAGATTGGGGACGAGGCTGTCGTGATCGATGGGAAGTGGGTGACGCGTGGTCCGGCTAGTGGCTGCTTCGGGAATGGCGGTTTCGGTTGTCGCTGGCGTCAAATTGGATGACCCCTCACCTCTCAACTCTCACCATGCACGGCAGAGCGACTACGACAAACAGAGGACGACGTCTGGGTGAAGAGCTTTCAGACCAGGACCTGCAGCATTGCTTACCTTGTTCTCTACAACCATTGCACCTTCAAGCGATGGCACTGATCGTGGACGCGGCAAAGTTCTCTTCATTTGATTCACATTTCGAATCGAACATGCCTGCGCCGATTGTGAAAACACAAGAGTCAGGGCAATAAGCATGTGCCGTTAACCGACGACCTTAATCAGGCATACGGACGATGTTGCGGCAACGCTGCCAATGCTTGACGCATGTACCACGGTGAACACGCTGTTTCTGGCAACGTTTCTTACCAAGCCCCATGTAGCCACGCTTCGGGTAGGAGCCGCTGACAGGAAACGCAATGCTCGTGGATAGGCCGAGAACAAAGTGGATATTTCCGCACCCTCTCATTATCGGACGGCAGGGGGGTGAAGCGGCAGGCCTCTCTGTATAAAGAGTCGGTACCGTCGCATCTTCTTCGCCCACCACAGCACACCTGCAGTTCATTCTTTACAGTCCTCGTGACACTTTTGTTCTTTCACCACACTCATTTCAATCCACTTCATCGATTGAAGTTGGTACCTTCCTCGCTCTTCGTTGATCTCGAAGTTTGAACGCCATCTTCCAAAACCCGACCTTCTTTTGAGCATCACTCATTCCAGCAATGTCTTTCTCCAAGATCCAGGCTGCTACCCTTTTGGGTGCACTGGCTTCCTCCGTCTCGGCTCACGGTCTTCTTGCCAGCATCGCGGTTGACGGCACAACCTACAAGGCTTACGACCCGTCTTTCCAATACAGCTCCACTCCTTCCGATGTCGTCGAGTGGGAGTGCCCTGAGTGAGTGACTCCAAATCATGGATGCCGCTTCTAAAAGCTTTGCTAATCGTACTTCTCTAGGTGCCAGGACAATGGCTTCGTCGACCCCACCATGTACACCGATGTTACCAAGATTGCCTGCCACAAGGACGCTACAGCCGGACCAAGTGTCGCGAAGGTCGCTGCCGGTGGCACCGTTGACATCAAGTGGACCACTTGGCCCGATTCTCACAAGGGCCCCGTCATCGACTACCTCGCCAAGGTCGATGATGCCACCAAGGCTACCTCTGCCGAACTCCAGTTCTTCAAGATCGACGAGGCTGGCTATGATGGCACCCAGTGGGCTGCTGAGAAACTGATTGCCAATGACCTGACCTGGTCGGTGAAGATCCCCTCCAACATTGCCGCCGGTCAATACGTCCTTCGCCACGAGATCATCGCTCTCCACAGCGCGGGTCAGGCGAATGGCGCTCAGAACTACCCCAAGTGTGTCAACATTGAGGTCACTGGAGGTGGTTCTGAGACCCCCACTGGGATTACTGCCGATCAATTCTACACCCCGACCGATCCCGGCATCTTGGTCAACATCTACGGCACTATCAGCTCCTATGAGATCCCCGGTCCGGCTCTCTTCGATGGTGCCAGCTCTGGCTCGGATACTTCGGCCATTGCTTCTTCCACTGCTGCTGCGTCTACCACCGCTGTGCCGACAAGCGCCGCGACTGTTGAGACCTCCACCGTCGAGACCTCTGCTGTCGAAACTTCTGCTGCTCCGACCACCGCCGCGCCCACCACTGTCGCCACTTCCGCGGTCAGCGGTTCCACCACCACCGTGGACGAGACCGTCGTCGTGACTGCTACCATTGCCCCTTCAAGCGCCGCCTCCCTTGAAGAGAACGTGCAATCCACCATCGCCGTCGCTACCCCAACCGCAACCGCTACCGCCGTCCCAACCTCAGTCATCGACCCCCTCGTCTCCGGCATCGGCGCGATCTCCACCGCCATCCCCACCAGCTTCTTGACTCAGCCCCTCCCCACCGCTGTCCCCACTGGCGCCACCGGTAACGCGAGTGGACCTCTTCCATCGAAGCCGCTTCCTGCAGGCGTTACCCTGAAGGACCTCCTTGAGTGGCTGTCTTACTACCTGAAGAACATTAGGAAGGGTGGCCGTGCCACCGCCGCCCGCAAGCACCCTCGTGCTTTCTAAGCTCTTGGAGCTGTTTCTTGCATTTCATATCGCCGATTGGATATCATGGCGATGGCGTTCTTCACTTCTATGCTGTATATACTTTTATGATCTGCAGGCTGCGCTTGTCTGTGCATATGAAATCTACGTTTTCATCAACCTCTGTTGCTATATCGATGAATGTGGTGATGAAAATGTTCCTTGGGTTTTGGGTGCAGACTCCATCGATATATGATCCCCGCTTCCCTGGTGTTAACCCTAACTCTATCGCTATCATTCCCTCTACTGAAGTGCTTCGTAATCTTCACCTGTTTATAAGGGCCAGTCATTCGAGCTTTCGGCAGCACTGCGGAGCTGAAAAGAACCGTGAGGCCTCGGGTCTCGAACCGAGGATGACACTCGGCGTTCTGAATTCAATTCAATTTTGAGACCCAGAGGAATGTGGATGATGGAGATGTATTTATTATGTTCGATCTGAGATTCCGCTTTTAGAAGACATGAGTGAGCTCAACAATCTAGCTTTAGTGCAGCAGTATACGGAGGCTAGCAATTATTTGGATAAGAGCTAATTGTAAATGGTTTAAGGAGTAATGTGAAGAAGTTTGTTGTTGACGTATGTCGTCGTACAGTTTCAGCTCCACCGTCCTCGTACGATGCATGCATTGCCATTCACATCACCATCTGCATGTACGTCTCTTGACATGCTTCGATTATACCCCTTTGCTTTTGCACAATGCGCATGACACGCTTTTAAAAGACCTCGGCCCTCACCCAGCATACCAAATACAGTGACTCCTATCTTTCTCTCCTTCAAATCCGCAAAAACCAGTCTATATTTAAACCGCAACAGCATTACTGAATCTAAGAATAAGTGCAAATGCCTCATCCGGCATCTCGATGTTCAGAATGTTTCTGCGACTTCTCGTGTCTGTGTAACACAAACATACACTTCGCCGCCATCTCATCTAATCACGAGAACATTCTTGTCCCCATTTTCGAACGCGGCAACTGCTCACTTTCTTAAGAAGCAAACGCTGCAAATACGTGGCCCCTCACAGCTGCCTCGTACCAAACGCCTCGAAAGTGTTCTTGCAGATTGGAATCAACGACTCTTCAACCCATTTTTGGTCTCCATATATTACTCTGAATCAACGTTTCTCATAATACAATTCATCCGATGTAGTCCAGTGGTTAGGATGTCTGGTTTTCAAAGAGTCTTGAAAAAGTCCCAGGAGACCCGGGTTCAAACCCCGGCATCGGAATCCTTTTACTCGTTGGTTGCATATAAATGCCCTACCCTACACTTCTGTTTGTTTATTTTGCTGATTGTTTTTGCTCCTTTTTTCAGATACCCATTGCTTACAACCGGTTGCAGCAAAGTATTGGATGCAGTTCCGTATTATCTTTCCCTTTCTTGCTTTTGTCGTACTATACACATTCTACTCTTAATAAAAACAGCTACGAGGCCCTGTCACATGTTCCTTCCACAGCTATTAAGAAGCTGCTACCAAGCGCTCTAAACTACCAATTTCCCTACGATTTACAATAAGCTCTCATAAGGAGGAAACCTCCCCTCACCTTCCATCTTCTCCTTAGCCGCCCGAATCCTCGTCCCTAGTATCCGCGCACTTGGCCTCTTCCCATACTTCTCCTTTGTGCACACCCGAATCGATTGATGCAATTCATTCGAGTACTTCCTCGCCCTTGACAATTCTGCCTCTTCCTGACGAACATCATTGGGCTCTACGAACCCATACGAGAGACATACCATCACCAGCCCGATTTGAAAGATGTCGCACTTCGGTCTCGCAACTGGGCCTTCAGGTGGGACATACGCTGGGTCTTCTCTAGAGAGGTCGGTTTTGATGGGGCGGCTGGTGGTCAGGTCGCTAAGGGGCACTGCGCAATCATAGTCACCGAGTTTGATGGTGGAGTAGTGGGTGTCCGAGGCTTGACTTGAGGAGAGGAATATGTTGGTTAGGGTGATGTCGCGGTGCACGACTGTGTCCCACGACCCTTGTTCGCTGGGATGAGGAGAATTTGGCCCATCATGGCAATACCTTACCGCTTCCGCCAAGCCCTCAAACATATGCTAGAGAAATACCTCGGGAAATTCCTTATCCGCCGCGTTGTACTGCGCTACGCGCCCTGACAAAGTTCCCCCAATACAGAACTCCATCACCATCCAGGGGCTGATCCTGTCTATGTTCGCCCACATCCGCATCGAGCAACCCGACGATGTGAGGATGATCGAGGGAGTGCAGTACGTGGATCTCGCATTCCGCATGCTCCGGATCGCAGATCACGGGCGGGAGGAATTTCATGACGGCGAGACGGCTGGTGTTGTTTGTGTCGCGAACGAGATTAAGGCCCCAGTTGAAAGAGCCAGGTGACACGAAGGAGCCATCGCCGTGGTTGTATAACGATTTCACCGTGATGCCAGTGCCCGACTGTGGACCCGTCGTCGAACTTGATGCCCCCGCGCTTAGCGACGTACACGCGCTGGTCCATGAAGTACATCAACATCCCCACAGTAATCTCGCGACTAACCCCACACCTCTGACCTCTAGGCTCAGGGTGGTGGAAAGTTAGCGCTTTGCAGTTCAGCACGCCATATGCTTCGGAAAAGAGCTGATACGCGTCTGTTAGGTAAGGGTAGCCTTCCGGATCAGCCTCGGGGTTTGCGATCAAGTCCTTTTCGACGAGAAAGGGAGTGAAGCTTAAGCTGTTTTCTGGTGGTTCGCCTTCGCGTGTGCACTATTTGGCGTAGTGGAGAGTGGGTTGGCGAGGTTGGACACAAGGAGACGAGGGTCTGGGGAGCCGGGCTGGGGGACGTAGATGTATAAATTTAAGGTGTGCTCTAGGGAGTCGGGGTCGGCCGAGGCGGACTGGAGGTTGGAACAGGTGCACTTTGCCCCGTCCCTCGAGAGGATGGGCGACGGTATGATGTTGCGAGATCCTGTGGGACCGATCTCGAATTACTCATGACAAAAGTGCATGGCTGGTTGCTGGGTCCTCCGGGCTGGCCGGAAGGACGGTCGAGTTGTGAGTGCGCAGTACAATTGGTGATGTGAAGACGCAGTGATCGACACTACAGTGCCTTATGAGATACCAATCCACGGCTATGGCTTGTAAACTGCCTGATGTCGCTGGCAAGGCCGTGTACCTCGAGGAATAGAGAAACGAGTGGTTTGGATCGAGCAGAAACGCTCCGAGGTATTTAAACAGAGTAGGGTGGGCGCATACATTGCATGTTAGACTTTGTTCAAGAGGCTTGTCTTGAATTAGATGGATTTGTTCATCTGAGTGGAGGATTGGAAAACGCTGTGCTCCTTTTCGGCACATGCAAACTTCTAACTAACAAGATCTAAGACAGCGACCATACAGACTTATGAGCCAACAAAGTAGGAGAACAGAGGAAATTTTGCAAAAGTTTTGATGGAATTGCTCACATCGACGACCAGTAGGTGAATAACTGGTGCTCTAAGCAGAACCCAAACTCACGTCCCTAAGCGCGACTCACGCAAGCCCGTCTTGGACCTTGCGCGGAGCAAATGTAAGACAACCCATCTGAATTGCGACGCTCGATCTCACTCACGTAAGTTCATTTCCGAAATAATCAGTAATTGCGTTCGAGGGGCCATGTAGCTGCACGTCAGTGGTGGAAATGTTAGAAGAAAGATGATTGACAAAGAAAGTAAAGGAAGGCCGGCGACACGGAAGACTCAGTCGTGAACAGGAAGAGTTGCAGGAATGCATGTCTTCGATCGCGCTCGCTACGTACGAACTGATAGCATGGCACTCCGCCGGCAATCGCCTAGCTTACAAATTAGATATTAGATCGAGGTGCACGTCTTCAATCGTCCCTCGACGATAGCGTTGCTCCTGTGTATCGCTCCCAAAGAGGATGCATGTCTTCAACCCGACCGACCTCGCGGTGAGTAGCATTGCATCCGTAATATCTCCAAACAAACCCAAACCCTTGAATTTTCAGGTGCATGTCTTCGATCGCTCCGCGATAGCATTGCACCTGTTTTCTGCACAGTCCACCAAGTTTTTTGAATGCACGTCTTCAATCAGATCCAGTCCGACCGATCCGATAGCGTCGCATTCCTCTCCCCCTTCCCCGGCAGAACCGTTGAATCTAGTACACATATGGAATAATCCGATACGGCACCAGCTCGACATACCTGTCCCAGTCCTTTCCATACTTCCGCCTGCATTTCTCTTCGTCACGCCTCTCCCGATGCACAAGCAAGACCGCAAAGTACACCATGAAGAAGTAGGTGAAGATCATGCCCCAGCCTTTCGCTTCACCCGGAATAACATACTTCTGGTAAGCATTCTGGAAGAAGACGGCATCGCGCGCAGAAGCGTCAAGCGGGTGGGTAGCGGCGTTGCGGATGACGTATCCGGACATGGCGGTTGGAAGGACGTACGACCACGACATGAACCAGTCGCCAAGGTAGTTGATGTGACGCGCGGTGCCCCACCAGCCGGAGACGAGCAGCTTAGAGCCAGCAGCCGTTTCGATGTACTTCAAGTGCTTGATGCGGGGGTCTTTTGGATCGGTACGGAAGCGGTTCTTCTCGTTGTTGACGGAGCGGAAGATATAGTAGCCAAATGCTTGGATCGCAAAGATCGGGACAAGACCCTTCACGCCAAGCTCAACCGGGTAGGTGGCTAGGTAGCGCGTCTGGATGCTGTAGATGAACGGGACCCAGACGAGGTCCCCAAAGGAAAGCATCATGCCGAAGCCGTCGTTGATGAGGTCAATGGTGGTCAGGATGGCAGGTTCCATGTACAGCGCGTCGAAGGTGTAGACGGACTGAGCGAAGGTGATGAGCAGGATTGAATCGGTGACTTTGCCGAAATTGCGGTATTGTTGCATTATGAAGGCAAGGTCGAGGATGATCCAGCCAAGCATACCAGGACGAAGCTCGCACCAGGCTTTGATGTCGACCTCGCCAAAGATGGGGAGCGTGATGCGCGGGTTGAGCTCGCGGCCGATGAACCAGTCGTAGAGAAGGTTGCCAGAGTGGCCTCCTGCAGCTAGTTCACGCATGTTGGGATCCTTGGGATGCTTGACAGTGAAGGAAAGTACGTAGACGTAGGTGGCCATGAAGTAGGAAATGAGAATGTTGGTAGTAAGAAGGCCAACATAGTTGTCAGATATGAAGGTCCAAACAAAGAAGTCGGCGCCTTCGACGGCGGTGCCGGCTGCGAGAATGGCCATGGTGAAAATGGCCGAGTAGAAGGCTGGACAATGTTAGCACGGTGGTGTGCATATTGCAATCACGTGACCAAACGCACCATTGAAGCGATACTTGAGCCTGCCACCGGTGCGCAGCTCTGTCCCATCGACCTCATCAGCTGGGAGAAACGTGTAGAAGGTCAGACTGAGGAGGTAGTAGCCGAGAGTGCCGAGGACCGCGTTCGTGGTGACGAGGCCGGAGATGCCTGGCCAGCCAACTTCCTTCTTCAACTGGTCCCAGTCTAAGCTGGACGGGTGCAACAGCGAAGGTGCAGGGCATCCTGAGATGTCGTTGCACAGGAAAACGAAGGCGTAACAGAGTAGTGGGAGCCCAAAGGAAATGATGAAGGCACCGGGCCTGCATTGGGGTTAGCATGCGACATGGCATCAAAGAAAACGCAATGTTGTACTTACGGACCCAAAAACTCATAGCCATGCGGCTCCTCGACGGCAGGCTCGACCCTGGGTTTCGGGGGCATTCTGGCGTTCTCTCAGGATTTGACGGATTGCCCGATGGCAATGTTTGTTGACGTGTTGGCGCAAAGGAAAGGGGAGCAGCTCCAATGAATTTCTTTACTGAGGCGTCGAACCGTCTCTCTAAACAGCCAGCCAGTCGCACGCCACGTTCCAGAGTAAGGAGGAGGGCACCGCTCTTTATATGCTCGATAACAGCTAAGAAAAGTCGTGCGATGGGAGGCACAATCGGAGGTCTGCGTTCCGTGATGATGCGTAGATTTGCGCCGTGGCGCTAGCGGACAAACAGGGAAAGCGCAACTCGCGGCACATTGGGACAGGGATGTGTCGTGGCGCAGCTGGCGAGGTACCGAAAGCCCGTGACATCTGGCGCCGCGTAAACCACCGTGGCCTAACGTCGCCGACAACATTGATGCTGCACGCCTCGTTCTGCGCTGCTCCCCACCCGCCATGCAGCTCTCTCTCTTCTCCGCCCTCTGCTGTCTCCTCTCCGCTGCACATATTGCCCAGGCAGCATCAGATAAACCGCTGAAG